GTCGCCGTAAACAATTCTTATACGGGACGCCACATCGAAACAAAATTAACAATAACACGCGTACTTTAAATTATGACTTCCAAACCAAAAATCTTAAGAACCAAACAAAGAAACAAAAATAACATCAAATTGCTTGAATCAGACACCACAACTGTTATGTTGGTTATTTGAATCTGTGCCCATAAGAATTAATGCAAATAAATTATTGCCGCGAAGAATGACATGACGAACCATATATGCAACAACCACCAACACAGCAGGATCCATACCGTTGTAAAAGTGACGTTCAAGTTGATAAATTCAACAGAACTATCTCCCTATCGAAATAACTTTCCTCCGGAGTAAAATCTCCTACAACCAGTCATTCGTATGATTTTAAAAAGCTAAATAAAAGAGAATAGACAAATAAAATCGCAAACGCTCCACATCTATATCACAGTTAACGGTTACGAAGTAAGCCTTTAACACGGGCACCACAGACTATGGTGTAAGCATGAACGTACGCCCTTCCAGCTCTAATTACTTTACTTAGTCAATTAAACCAAATCTCAATTTTACTTAACACTTCATGTATAACAATAACAGCAGTGACAAGAAAAGAAATAATAACAACAAAAATCATTTAAAAAATTGCACAATGAAAACTGTGTACAGTGATCAAAAGATGAAATACGACAGAATTTTTAGCGCAGTGAGCGCTGGAAAAACAAACCTGATGCAAGTACTATGATATAGAAAACACATTTAACTGAAGCATGATGAAACTTAAAAAATTATTTGCTACTCTCCTCTCCCCCCCGAAAGACCCTTAACCTGCAGAAGGTCAATAATCAACTTGAACATCACAAAGCAAAATAGACTAGAACTCAGATTTAACCGCCTTTTGATTATTCGTCTAATCTGAGGCCCAGTAAGATAAAAACAACTTTTGACACACTCGCGTCAACAATTGTTTATCAACATTCCACAAAAATATGCATAAACCGAAAACAGATAGAAGTCTAAACGCATTTTTAAGATCATAAATACCCATTATACTGTCTCCTCTCAACAAACGCCCCCTTCTCCCTTAAGGAAGACGCCATTATAACCTCAGTCATTGCGACCAGAGTACTATTTAGAATTTTGTTCAAAATTATTAAACTGCTCCCCAACACAGTAGGAAGAAAAAAGACATACATATATGTATTGGCAAAACTGTGACATTACAAAAAAAATCAAGAAACGAAGAACTGGAATCAAACCACTTTTTGAAACTGACCATAAAACTTCAGCAAAAAAAAATTATTTTTTTGAAACATGACTAAAACCCATTTGACGCTAGTGAGGAAGATCGACTATAAACATCTCAAAACAAAAATAATGCGTATTTTAAAATTGGATTAAAAAAGGAATTCCATTCTTCAACAAATGGCAACTATGATGTGCAACGAAGGAAGATACTATCAAAATTACAAGTTGCGAGAAAAAGTGCTCGAATTCAAAAAACTTATGTTGTTCCAGATTCAAATTTATACGGCTCACTCTCTTTTGCAGCTTTTAACTTTCTTTCAAAAAGCTTCCTCAGAGATGGCTTTATGCGTTGATAAGGAACATCCAATTCCGATTGCTCCCTTAACTTCACAGCTAAACTTTTATAAACTTCCCACTCCTCTAAACTCACACCAGCAACTTTTTCAGCAAAGCGGATATCCGTTGTATCAAGAATCGCTTGAAGTTTAGGATTCTCCTGGAAGGAAGTAGCCGAGTAAAAACCAGATTATTAGTGAGAAAAGTAAAAAACAGTATTAATAAGGTCAAAAAATGTACGCAATAAAATATTACTAAAAATTACCTTCGCCAACTGTGGTTTCTTCTCATCGGGAAAAACGTATTTACCAGCTTTAACAAGAAACTCATGCCTTGCCATAATCTCCTCTAACGGCAAATCTACCCACATTTTACATAACCCAAAATCCTCAGCTTCTAAGCCCATATGATAGTAGATGTACTCATATTTGAGCTCTAAACGATCTGGATCGTGCAGCAATATGTGCGGAGAAAATTTTAATATATTCCGCAGCTGCAAAACTTCTAGTTACAATGCTAATTTCAGAACACTCTAAAAATAGCAAAAAAATAAATAAATAAAAATAAGTAAATAAATAAATAAATGCTAGAGAAAATTAAAAGAAGAAAACATTAAAGCATTCGTAAATTTTCCGTCAACATAACTGGTCTGTGTAAAGAACATATCTCTGCAGCAAAGATTTCAAACGGTATAATTTGCTATGAAGAGCATCAAAAAATAGGATGAAGGTCAAAATTTCTATGATACCATGAAACTTAATACCATAAAACAATGCATCTACTTTAGTATGAAAAAACAATTTAAGAAAATGTCTATCTAATTTCCTTTAGAATTCAACCACTCCACTCTTGCTGAATCAAAACGGTGTTTTAAAAACCAAACAAGCTAAAACATTTAAAAGCTCACGCTTACTGCACTTGAGTAATAGAGCATAAATTTTAAAAAAAATTTAAAAGAGGCTTCAAAAGATTCAGAAATGACTATCTCCTAACAAACAAATCACAACTGTAACCACCTGAGGCCGAGGAAAAAAAGAAGAGATGATTTCACTGACAGTGGCCATATGGGAAGCATCTTTTGTGAATAAAACGGCCGGGAAAAATGATACTGCATTTCCCAATTCTTCTTTTTCAAGACCATGATTGCTCAGAACATCTAAGCAATCTGACACAAAACTCGTGCCTGCCTGCAGGAATTCGTCTGAAAAACTTCAAAAAAAAAAAGAAAAAACTGATCAAACACGAATTTTTAGTTACACAATAAACCAGAACTCTGTACTCCACTTAATCGCTCAAACACTCTGCGTCTCAACAACTGAAGTAAAAATAGAGCACTTTTTGAACAAAATAAATTGTAATGGAAATGAAAGCGAAATGAAATAGAAACTACGTGACTATATAATGTATTTGACAAGTTGCAACACAGTCCACTTCCGCAACTTTCTAAATACTGTAAACTAGTAAAGTGATTATGGTACAAGTCAGTCATGCTCATCTCGGATTACATTTACAAGATCAGAGGGGTAAAATTCTTTACTATTCATAATGATTTTTAGCGACTTTGAAGCTCGTCGCCCAGGAGCAAGGTTTTTGTTGTCCTAAAAGTAATGCTGGGAAAAATGAAACCGCAAAGAAAATTGTAGGGACCAAGGACAAGATAAGGCGCAATTTGTAAATATTTATTGATTCAGCAACATTATTTTCTTCAGTGCAACGCTTCCACTTCTCCTCTCATTTTTCTGCTTTTGTCTTACTAAAAGTCGTCAGCCGCTGAATATTAGAAAAAGCTAAGCACTAACCAAGAAAAAACCTTTACTGCGTCATCATAACTTGAGAAGCAGCGCAATAGCAACAAATCCAACAGTTCCAATGATGCTGTGCCGCTTCTGACTAACGCAAAAAAGAATTTTGCAGAATTGGTGCAGGTATCGATTAAAAGATCAGACTGGACACCTAAATTTCAATTAAAATTAGATGTTTTTCCAAAATGATCGAAGATAAAAACTAAAAAGAGAATTTAATAGTGAACCCCCTCTCTTAGAAGATTACGAATTTAACAGATAACAATTCCAGCAGTATTAAGAAGAACAAATAAGAATTCATTAATTATGCTTAACCAAGCTTCCACTATTCTCTCCTTTTGACTTTTCAACCCATTCAGTTTTCTTCAAATGCTCATTACCATTTACCAGTTTAATAAAAACAACAACTAAAACTATGCTAGCGTAAATAATTTTAATATTAATTGTTGAGAAATAACTGCCGGAACATTTTAAAATGACTGGAACAATATTTCTCCTTGAAAAAGCGTATTAATATTAACTTAAACTTTGTGGTTTATTGTTGTTTATGAGACATCAGAGACAATTACGACTGAAACAAAAAAAGAAAAAAGGCAATAACGAAACGAAAAGAGAAAGTTGCAGTCTGCTGTATGTAAACACAACACACATTTTATATGGTGGAAACACTTCAGTAATCTAAAATTTGACAACTACAACAACAACAACAACAACAACAACAACAACAACAACAAAGCATCAGCACCAGCAGCAACAACAACAGCAACAAAACAAAAGCTCCGACGATGATCAGCAGTGACATAACAACAAAACAATCAAATTAAAAGATCAAATTACCGGAACTAATGAAGCACCTAAAGGTACTCTATACCTCTAAATAAAACACTGTAACCACAAATATTTTAATGTTTCAGAATATAATTGTACAAAGTATTTTACTTTTTCCCTTATTTTCCCCGCATTCAGCAAACTTCAAAACTGCTCAGTTTAAGTCAAAAATTTATATTATGCTTGGAAAAAAAAAAAAGAAAACTAGAAAAGCCCTGATAACTGCCAGTATAAAAGTGCATCAAAAAATCAGCTGAACTTTGATGCTTCTTAACAACCATTACAGCAATAAAAATAAAAAAGTAAATGAATGAATGGTAAGGAATACATATAAGCTCATAGTAGACAGAGTAATAGAAAAAAAAAAAGAACCATTAAAAAAACCAGCAAAACAAGAAAAAAAGTTGTACCCTAACGACCCTGCCATTTCTTCTTTTGCCTTCAACTTCGCCTGCTGCTAAAGGACTGTTCATAGTGGCATTTGCCGGCAAATTTCTTCAAGAAAATGTAATAGGGGCTGTTAGAGTTTCCTAGATAAATAAATAGACTTTTTGAGCAGGAACTTAAATAGTTGATGAGTGTGCACACAAAACACTCCTGATAAAAAAATTTTTTTTCATATTTCTTCAATGAACACATATCCCTTTCTAACAGATATATTCCGCCAATATTCAAAAAAGTCCAGAAAAAAAAAAACCTATGACATGACCTCGTCTGGTGAGTCAAACGTGTTTCTACACCCTTTCAATTTAGCGGTAGCCGACAGTATCAAAATCCACCTGCAAGTGTCCTTCCGAACAATGGTCAGACGATCATAAACTGCCTCTTTACAAAGGTAGATTCAGTTACGCTGCGGAAATCTAAGGAAAAAAAAGCAAATGAAGATCCAGTTATTGCTAAGGCAGTTTATGATGTCTATCTCTAAGCGTAAGCATTTTGCAAATATGCATACTTCAGGCCGATGCTCACCTGAAGCTTTCAAGCGGACCGTCAACGTTTTCCAACCATCTCTGGCCAACAGAAAAATACCTCTGTAGTGACAACCTTCAGCTACGCATTCGAGACTCTCTAACTCGTGTTAAGCAATGACTAAAAAAGGCAGTGAAACTTTTTTCAAAAAGTTTCTTTGAAGTACACCTCAACTACTCACTTAGAGATGCAAAATCAAATGTTCAATACCACACCACACGTCAAAAGTTTAAAACAGTAGTGTATAGTTATTGTTGAAATTAACAAAAAAGGCAAGTTCGAGAACCTAGTACGCAAAAAATGAAAGAGAGCTTACAAAAAAAATGCATTTTTGGAGGTGAGCACCATGGAATGCAACATTAAACCCAGCCTAAAAGCTCTCTGCCCTGTCTTCGGAGAAGGTTCTAAATGCAAATGGCTCAAATCCTGTCAAAAAAGAAGTTAAAATTAACTGTTTTATTCCAGTAATTTGTTTGCCTTGGGATTTGATTAACCAGGAATGGAAACCTCCCTGAGCAAAAATAAAATTTTTATCCTTTTTTTAAACCATTAATCTTCTTACCTAGCCCTTTGATCTTTTTTCCCACTACCCAAAGAGACCCTAATGAAAAAATCAGCTGCTTACGTCTGAATGTTTTACCCTTTTTTCCTTTGAAAAAAATGACTTC